TGTGTGTGTGTGTGTGTTTGTGCATGTTCAGGTGCATGTGTTGTGAGCTAACAGCCTCGGATGCTGGGTAGATACGGTCTGCTGCTGGCTCGCTCTGTTACCATGGTGATCCCATCTGAGAGTCAATAATAGTACGTTGACAGGGGCTGGTTGTAGTGAGAGAGAGGAGGAAATGGTTGGTTACTCACTTTTTTAAATTACAGTTGGTATAACAACTTGTTGTTTTCAGTTTTGTTCATGAGTTTAGTTTTTTGTCTGCAGTGTTTTATTTTAACTAGTGCAGTGCCCGTTCTTCATATGACAGACAGACAGATATTTCTGACTGACAGATGAAATGCTCTTAATTATATGTATTATCTCTCCATTCCATATTGTGGATAATGCGTCTGTAAGAATCCCTTCTTCTTTGATATACTCCAGAGCTTCTTCAGAATTTCTCCTTGTCATTAGTGAGTCCTCCTCAAACAGTTCTGCAATATACTGTCACTAGTGTTTGTGTGCTGGACGTGGTGTGCAGCGCTTTTTATGATGCAAGGGGAAGTTAAAACACTTTGTGTTCATCCTACATGGTTTATCTGCAGTGCAGATTTTATAGTCAAAGTTTTTCATGAAATTAAACTGAATTTGCTTTATTACTGTTCAAGTGGTTTATTAATACATTTGAATAATTTACTTAGCTGCTGTTATTTCTTTACATTGCATGTTGGCTATTTAAAAGGCCATTTAACACAATCTTCAGACCCAAGTGCACAACTTTCCTAAATAGAAGCTCCTTAATTCAACGCAACACAAAGCATTGCTTCAACAAAACAAATGTATTGCTTTTACTTTTAAGACAAAATGCTGGAGGAAGTGATTCTATGAATGTTGATATCGTGGAGAGTAATAGCACCTGCCACACCTCTCAAAACTCAGTCTGATACAGTGAAAGAGAAATTATTACTGACAATCACTGCTATAGAGCGCTTTTTGTCTGTTTATTAAATTTCTGTTAATTATAATGTATTACATGTCCAAATCACACCAAATTTTACACTGCACTTCCCTAGTTACTAGGAACATGTCTGAAGCCACAAGTTGTGCATACCATACACATACAGACGCACACTGGTGGAAGGAGCTGGTGGATTCAGCCCCCTTGCAAAACAGCTCAATCTGTGCTTTTGCAGTTTTCTTCTTTTCAAAATGTCTGTTTTATTAATGAAGGTATATTTATTTAAAAGAAAAGGCACTAACAAAGGCATCACACAGTGGTTTCACTCTCATCTCTCCCAGCAATGAAACTGACTGTTGAGTCCTTCCTGCTGGTTTTTTTTTTTTGGTTTGCTGCCTAATCAGCAGAGGCAGAAGCCAAATCTTCCTCAGCCTGACTGAAGTGAAAAGTAACAGAGAAAAAATTGAGAAAAAAAGAGAAAGAGACTTTTTCCCCCATCGTTCATTGTGCAGCAACTCGTTTTTCTCTTCGGTCTTTCTAGGGAGAAAAGCCACAGAACATTCACAAGTGTGTGTGTGGATTTGTTACTTTGCCGTTCCACTGTTTCATGTTGCCTCTTTTTTTCTTTTCACTCCCCACCTTTCTGCTGTCACTCGCTGCATCTTTTTGTGCCTCTCATCTCTGCTGCACAGCAGGAGGCTTCGTCACGCTCTGTGACTGTGTTCCTGTGTCGCTGTGTGAGTGCGTCTGCTGTTTGTGTGTGTGTGTGTGTGTATGTGTGTGATACCTCTGCGAAGTTAAAGTTTTTTCTAGTTACAGACGTTTACGCACAGAGACACACGCAGATGCATAAGTTGTAACTTAAAAAAGACCCTTGTTGCAGCTTACATAACAAGCCTTAGCCGCCTAACCTCAACCAAATCCCAACCTCACTCTGATCTCAGAACCAAACTTCAGCCGACAAACGTCCCTTTGAAGAAAATGAGGACCGGAAAAAATCACTTTCTCTTTTTCCTGCCACACAAACAAACACGACTCATTCTACCTACCCATGTACCCTTCCCAAATATCAAAAGATTTATTTCCTGTCTGTTTATTCAGCAGCATCTTGGATGGCAGTCTCACACTATGACTCCGAGCAGACAAATTAAAGTGTGGTGCAAAACAACCAACCAA